GTTAATGTCCCTGTTAAAAATAATTTCAATCGTCTGTTGCTTCAAAAGGCTATCTCTAGGTTAGAAGTAGCAATACACTAAAGCATAGTTATTGGAGGAGACTGGTTATGAAAAGCGGCAAACATCAATGGTAAAAACAACAGTGCTGCAGTTTATGTTGGAAGCACCCTGAAAGTGCACAATCCTTCGTTTTCTGTTGGCAAATTGTTACGGAATAAATTAATGCAACGTTTTTATTGGTCAATACAATCAAAATGATAGGAATTCTTTTGAACGTTGTGCACTTTCAGGTCCACAAAAACATATAACAAAGGAGTCTGACGGGTTTCATAACCATTCCACTCAATTAACTATGACTAAAGCTGGTAAAAAGTGTAATTATAATCTGTACTACCCAAAATAATAAACCACTGCATTACACAGTCGGTATCCCAATATACCGTAAAATTCCGAAAATAAGCCCCTCCATGTATAAGCCCCCCAAACTCGTAACGCAAAAAACCCTCCGTTAAATCGCCCCTCCAAATATAAGCCCCCGGGGGGCTTCTACTTGGAAATTGCCCCCAAATACAAAGTAAAACAAAGAAAAAACGGTAAATTTCCTTCCATTTATAAGGCTAGCCCAATCGATTTTGAAACGCAAATTTGCCTCCGTATATAAGCCCCTCCGAATATAAACCCCTCCAAAAATAAGCCCCTCAAAAAGGGCCTTTGAAAAATATAAGCCCCCGGGCTTATTTTCGGAATTTTTCGGTACCCCCCTTATATATGGTCTTGTAATCTCTTTGCTATCCAACATTCTCCTGCTCCGTATGACAAACAACTTTCATTTGATTCGTCACAATTTCCGGTTTCGGTCAGATTAATTTCTTACCACTTTAAGCCCCAATATCCACATACAAATCTCCAAACTGATCACTATATATTTTCTTGATGAACCAGTTGAGAGAATTTCATAAAAGATCGAGGCATTTTTTCTTGGTGATCATTTTGTTAATTCTCATAACTTTTTCTCTTGATGATGAATGGATATCATTAGGAGAAAATTGATGTTGGTCACCATTGGGACTTAAAGGGTTAAAACGTTATACATAACGTTCGTTTGAATGGTCACATCTTTTTTAATGGTACCGCACGAATGAAGCTTTTCTGTATAGAAACTGCGGTTAAATACGAGTTTCGAAAGTAAAAAGTGAGAACAGAATCCTTTTAGACCGTGTTGTTTTTCCTAGAGACTTTTGTTCCTCGGCCATTGGAGTTTGATTTGTGATGCAGTTACTAGAAATCCAGCCAGTACGCTGAATAACTGAAATAACCAAACTATTTGAGTTACCTGTATGAGATTGATGCCTGACTTTGTATCTCGTGCTTTTGAAGAAGACACCCAATTAGGAGGCCAGAAGGCGGACGCTCCTCCCCTTTTCTTAGGGAAGCCCTGAGGACAAGGTTGTCAATTTTTTCCACACTTTATTTCCTAGTGTCAAAATCCCAACTTAGAGAAATTTTCAGTGATGCTCACATCAGCTCTGTTCTCTAATGTGACTCATAATGCAACAGTTTTCTACATTTTTTTGAGCAGTTTTACTTTGATCTTTTCGCTTTAATTTTAGCTTAAAGCATCATGAATCAGAAACAAGATCTTTAAGACCCGTTATTTCGCTGTCGAATTGTGACACCGTGTTTAAGTACAACCTTTCATGACCAGCGTAAGAGCAAACTTGTGGGACATGAGAGAGTGGGTATGGGGAAGGGATGCTTAAAGGAACTATGTTAACCCTTTAAGTCCCAATACTGACCAACATCAATTTTCTCGTAACAATATCCATACATTTTCAAGAGATAAGGTTATGAAAATTAATAAAATGATCACCAAAGAGGAATGCCCTGATCTTTTATCAAATTCTCTCAACTACTTCTTAAAGGAAAAGTTAGATTAGCTTGCAGAATTTGTATGTGGATATTAAGGCTTAAAGGGTTAGGTCTGGTTAAGTCATAACTTACTGTCTTTACCCATACAAAAAATACTCCTGGGCTGAGTTGTTCAAAGCCGGGTTAAGATAACCCATGGTTAGTGCGAGATTTGAATTCAGATTTGAAAGCTTAAAAAGAATTTCAGTTTTAATTCTTTTTGTTGTCTACAAGTTGATGATTGAAAGATCTTAATATAAGAGAGAAAATTATCCTAGAAATGCTTTTGAACACAAGAAAGAGGAACCCGGGTTAAGCACTGATCAGCCTTCGAACAACTGGGCCCTTATGACGAGAGAGAGAGAGAGAGAGCATTATTGATAATACCTTTTTGGTTATTTTTGCAGGCACAGCATTAAAACTTTTTAATTTTTAATCCATGTTCATCCCTGCCACCTGTAAAACAGACGACAGGAAACATATAGGAGGACATCCTAGCACCATACATAGAAACAACACTAGAATGTCCTCCTTGGGGGCCCAGTTGTTCGAAGGCTGATTAGCGCTTAACCCAAGTTTCTTTATCTTTTGTTCAAAAGCATTTTCTCGAACAATTTTCTCTGTTATTTTTAAGAGCATCTAGTCATCAACTTGTTGACAAAAAGAATTGAACTGAATTTACTTTATAACCTTTCATATCGGAATTCAAATTTCGCACTAGCTCTGAACAATCCGGCCCAGGATGACTTACACTATCCCAAAAGCCAGAACAAATTATGGAATTTTTAACATAAGGTTCCAGGGTGCTAAAATTTGGAACGATACAAATGATGACATCAAGCTCCTCTCTCTCTCAAACGTTTTAAAAAAAAGATAAAGTCAATTCTTATTCTTATCAACACTAAAATTTTTTCTGGTTTTCTTTTGTTTAATACTGGCACGCTTAGCTTTCTTTTTCCACTAGTTTTTTTTTTTCCTTTTTTTGTGTATGTGTTTTGTGTAGCTGTGTGTGGTGTGTGGTACCTGACCCTTTAATATAATCATTTTAATAACCTAAGTAAGGCTGCTCCATCTTTTTAGCCGATAATGGTTATCATGGGCAGCCTGTACTCTCTCCATATTTTATCTGATTTGTTTTGTATCAAGTAAATCAATATGGGGTACAAATAAAGTTGTTGCTGTTGTTATAACAAAACTGGCTCTTTACTTTTGGAATTCAATTGATGCGAAGAGAAGTTTAGCTTTTTAAAAAGATAGCAAAAAGCGTGACATAGCCACTTTGCAAGTTACACCTCCTTTACAAGACTACAAGCATGCCTCTATTTCTTTCATAAGAGTTCCCCCAAGGAGAGGTTTTGTGCATTCTGCGCATGCTTGTTGAAGGGGATACGTCACCTAAAGGATATT